AGGATCATTACGTTCAGTATTTTCTGCTTGTACTTGTTTATGGCAATGGGCCTTAGTTCCTGTGTCCCAAACAGAGGACAAAATCCTGCTTTCTGTGATAACCTGTGTTTTCACGTGGAAATACGACTTCATTCAGGGCCCGGTAAAGTGGGCTGTGCAATTGAGAACCTATCATATTTCCCTTCTGTGCTCCTCCCCCCCCCCCCCCCCCCCCACACACACCCATACATGCCAGACCCACTATACACAGTATGTAATTGGCTCAGATTTTGGGGGATGGAAGGCCAATATAGAGGGCTGACTTGCTGGAAAGCAGCTCTGCAGAGAAGGACCTGGGGGTCCTGGTGGACAACGAGTTGACCGTGAGCCAGCAATGTGCCCTGGTGGCCAGGAGGGCCAATGGTATCCTGGGCTGCGTTAGGAAGAGTATTGCCAGCAGGTGGAGGGAGGTGATCCTGCCCCTCTCGTCAGCCCTGGGGAGGCCTCCCCTGGAGTACTGTGTCCAGTTGTGGGCTCCCCGGTCCAAGAGAGACGTGGAGCTCCTGGAGCAGGACCAGTAAACGGCCACAATAGATGATGAGGGGACTGGAGCATCTCTCCTGTGAGGAAAGGCTGAGAGAGCTGGGCCTGTGTAGCCTGGAGAAGAGAAGACTGAGAGGCGATCTCATCAATATGTACAAATATCTGAAGGGAGGGTGTCGAGAGGATGGGGCCAGTCTCTTCTCCGTGGTGCCCAGCGATAGGACGAGAGGCAACGGGCACAAACTGAAACCCAGGCAGTTCCATCTGAACCTGAGGACAAACTTCTTTCCTGTGAAGGTGACAGAGCATTGGAACAGGTAGCCCAGAGAGGTTGTGGAGTCTTCTTCCTTCAAAAGCCATCTGGACACGGTCCTGGGTAGCTTGCTCTAGGTGACCCTGCTTGAGCAGGGTGATTGGACTAGTTGATCTCCAGAGGTCCCTTCCAACTTTGGCCATTCTGTGAACCCAGAGAGGCAAGTGAAGGAGCCAATAATAGCTCAGTTTTGTCCAGGTAACACGCACAAAAATCAAGGATTCAGGAAATGTGCTGCCTGAGCAATAACCAGCGTTCTATTTACTTCCATTCCTAACTAAAAATAGCACTTGGTTCTTTAGTTTAGGCAGTTAAGTAATATCCACAATGCCTTTGGGGTAGGAATGGTATCCTACAAAAACACATGAACAGCCATAGTGAGTCAGATCAGTGTTTCATTTAACTAGTAACTGTCACTGAGAAGTTAGTAATAGAAAGTGAAAAACAGACAGGGCTGGAATACACTGATACTTCTGGTCATACTTTTCTGGCCTTTAGAATATGTTTATGTGCTGTCCTTGAAGCAAAAAACAGTAAAGCTCTGGCATTAAAACTCAGGTATTGATAAGATTCAGAAAACCTTGTTCTATGATACAGGAAGAGCTGTTAAGATAGAGCAGCTTGGTTAGGAATAGTTTGGTAGCATAACATCAGTCCAGCGTATTTTTAGATGTAGTTAGGTCAGAGTATGGATTTATTCTTTGTTTAGTGTGACAGTCCCAAACAGATATGATCACTCCTGGCCCTTGAAGAAATCCTGGATCCTTGCCCAAGCGGCACGAATATTTGCTCTGTGCCTTCTGTGGCATTTTGCTGTTACCAGTGCAGGACTCCATGAGGACTCATTTATTCTGCCATTTCATTCTAAGCCCTGCCTGCCTGCAGTTCAGTGTAGTGCTCAGGTCAGTCAAGCCACTTGCCTTATTAATTCTAGTCTCCCAATTAAGGACCTCAATGAAAGAGCTAATTTAATAATGATAGCAAAGTAAGAGCTAAAGAAGTATATGCAAGCTTAGCATCACTGCCAGTACCTCTGCCCGCTGATCTGGACTGCACTGAAGAATCTACCTCCTTATTCTCAGTCCTTCTGACAATTACTATCTAGCTATGTAGAGCCCAAATAATCATATAAATTGGGTGCCTTGAACTTTGAATTTAAAGTAATTTGAAGGCATTTCCTGGTATTTCAAAGTCTTATCTGTGCCCATAGAGCAGGTACTTGGACTAGTATAGTTTGATCTGTTTGAATTTTGTGTTACAGCAGTGTCTGTGTATTAATAGCAAATAGTGATGTTTCTTATTAGTCTCTTGGTAATTCTTGTTAGTCTCAAGGTAATCTGCTGTATTTTACTGTTAAATGCCAGCCATGGCCCAGAGCATGGTATATTAGACTGGCTGCTAGTTAATCAAACTTAAGTCATTTTTTCTGATAACACGTAGATTAATGACAGATGGAAAGTCTATATTGTAATATCTACAGGTATTTGGAAGAAAATATATCCGTCTATATTCACCTCAAGATTCTGAAAACCTATATCCACATGAAAGCCATCTTCTTCACAATACTAGCCAGGTAAATAGTTGCCTGAAATTTTAAAATATGTAATGTTACTTTATGAAATCATATTTGAGTAAAGACATTCTATTTTTTTTTTTTTAATAGGTCGATGTGGAGGATCCTGACTTAATTAAGTTTCCCAATTTTAGAAATGCTGCATCTCAGTCTTGTATTCTGATGCCTGGACAGGTTTTGTTTATTCCAGTTAAATACTGGCACTATGTACGATCTCTTGATATCAGCTTTTCTGTAAGTTTCTGGTGGTCATAGATCAGAAGCATGCATAAAGTTTGTTAGAACTGTAATAGCAATTAAAAAGTAGCAGCTTTTGCCACTCTGCAGAAGAGAATTCTTTTTAAACCTGAGAAAGTTCTCTATGCACAGTTCAGAGCTGGAGAAAAAATTTCCCGCTTCAGCATAGTGAAAGAATCTGGACAACTAAATGGAAGGAAGTTGCTACAGCCACTTTATTTTTGTGAATGTTTCTAATATAAAGTCCTTGTAAAGAGCATATGCTGGCTGATTGTCTTGAATGTGTTTGTACATCCAAAACAGCTCTATATATAGGCACTGCCAAGACGCTGTGGCGCAAACAGTGTTTGGAACAAAAAACATACATAGCTAGTGTTTCCTTCTGTTGGGATTTAGTATCAGTAAAAATTGAAGTTATTTAAACAGTGAGGGAGAGTGCTGTCCACAAGTTCAATACATTAAAAAAAAAAGTGCTAACATGAAGCATGATGCCGATCTCTGATTCTCTGGAAAAAAAAAAAAAGGATTAATTAAGGACTGGGGCTACAATTAATTGTAGTTAATCCATAGTTCAATTAAATACATTTAAATGAATCATACTTTGGTTATTGATCAGGTGAAGTGAGGGCATTCTGCTTTTCCCTGAGAAAGTCTGGAATGCCTTTCATTTCTACCAAGGAGAGATATGCTGCCATTCAACTCTCTGGCACTTAGCAATATCGTCTTTTTATCAAGCCACTCTTACAAGGAAAAAGCAGCCTTTCAGAAAATGGGAGAGAGAGAAGTGTTAGTACTAAAAACTAAAGAATAGGACTATGATTTTTCAATACTTTGCTGGCATAAACTGGCATTGCTACTGACCATCTTGCCCTACTCCTTCCCACTAGTTCTGACCATCAAATTATTCCCTCTGTTTTTGAACATGCTGCTTGTGATTGGTTTTATGTCAGATGAACTATCTTGGGGCAAAAACCAAGCAACAGTGCCAGCTTAAAGTGTTCAAACTTGCCCCAGATCAAACATTCAACCAGCCTTTTTTAGTGAATGGACATTTTTCCCCTACTTTAACACCATGTAAAAATGTAAATACCTAAAATCAGCATAGGTTTGGGGAGGTTTGTTTTCAGGTTGATAGATATACACATGCCCTGTGGCACTAGTAACAGGTTTCATTTCCAGTTGTGTAAGTGAAACTGTACAAATATGGAACACTATACTCGAGAAAGGCTCCACTGAACAGATTAGCTTACAGGACTGAGCCAAAGCATTTACATCTTTCATTCTCAAACATACACAGAGTGTCTCAACCTAAGAATATGGAGAGTTGTGTGTGCAAGACAGCCTCCAGGAAAGCTGTGCGGACATAACTGTTTAGGAGAACAAGAAGGTCAATGACAATTTTATTGCAAGCTTCTTAAGAACTTTGGAAAAAAATAAACACTCTTAAAATTACACTGTTATTAACAAATACAATTATAGTCTGGCTATTTTGAAGAGAACAGAAAAAGAATTTCACTGAAAGCAAGTCTTAACACCATCTAGTGCTGAGAATGAAGCTCTTTTCCTCTTTCTCTTTTTGAGGACAACTGGGAATCTATCCGACTCACCTCTGTCAAGAAAACAAAAAAGCAAGGTTAATGAATGACAAAAAAAAGATGATATGGCATGACCTCCAGTTTCTCATGCTTTCTACATTCTTTTATGCTCGTGTTCATAACATCCAATTTCACTGGTAAATGAATTCTGAAGAGTTTAAGCCATTCATAGGAACTCAGTATTTCCAAAAGTGTTTTTTGTTTTTGTTTTTGTTTTTTTTGCTTTTGGGTTTTGGAGGTATGTTGGTTTCTGTGGGAGTTTGTTTTTTTTTTTTAAATACTATTAGAAGCACTATTTGCAGCATCTACTAGTGACCGCAAGACATACTTCTGGCAGTTCCAGTGCTCAGTGTTACCCAAGGATGATTTGCTGTCAATTAAAGTCAGAAATAATGGATACTCGGCCACAATTATGAAAAATATAAGCAGTGCCATTTAATATCACAGTCTATTCTTTAGTATCACTACACTAAATTTTTTTTAAATAGGTTGCTCGTACCTGGAATCTCATGAGGCCAGAAATCATTACAGTGAGGACAGTGTGGTTCAGTCTGAGCTTTGAAGTACTTTCCAACACAAGGTAAATGCATTCCAATTCCACAGGTTTCACATACTTGGCTCTGAAATCAGATGTGTTAGTAAAAACCTTTCCAATCTGTAATTCAGTTCAACATAGCAAAGTAAGTTGTCAAAAATGGCTACAGACATGCAATGCTTTATCCCAAAGAATGTTTCACATGTTAGAGTTGGAAGAGTCAGAAACCAAAGCCAGTAAAGGCTAAAAGGAGGCATTTTTCCTGGAAACTATGAAATACCATTTCCTTTGATGAGCAAAATTTAACTTGAAAGCTCAAAAACACAGAGCTATTTGCCTGCAACAAAGGAGAGCAATTGGGATGGAAAAATGCAACATTAGGGAAGCATGTTAGCTGGGAAGAAGAGATGCAGGGTCAAGGAGCAAGAGAGTTTAGTAGTTCTGAGAATCAGTTCAGGTTGTAACCACCTACTGTACAAGACTAAACTGTCAACTTACCACGTATCAATGCACAATCCTTTAGTGTACTACATATACACACACACACACGCGCACCCGCGCTCATTCTCAAGTCCAAGATGCAAGCAATTTCTGAACCAAAATCCCAGGACCAAAGATGTCTATCACATGAACGATTACCATTTGCAAGGTCCAAAGATCAAGTTTGCTGACTCTTACTGTTATGCCTTTGCAAAGATAAGCGTTCACTTCTAGCCTGCTGGGCTTGGAAAGCAAGGCAGGGTGATAATACTCCTCATTGGGTTAATTCACTTTCTCTAAGTTTACACAGTTTTTTTTTTCCCCCCGAAGACAGAAGATTTAAAAAAAAAAAAAAATTCCCCTTTTGTCAGGGTAGATATTTTAGTATACATGGGCACCTTTACCAGATTACAAGACCAGAAATTTTAGTGCCTGACTAATGCTCAGAAGAACGTCTCACGCACTTCAGCTATGACCATGATAGTCCATCAGCAGGTGTCTGCTAAGGTAATCCAAACTGAGTTACCTGGATGGCAAGGCTGTGACAGATGTTACACTTCCTTGCCACATCTTGGTAGTTGCTGAGAATGTATTGTTCCATCTCCATTATGCAGCGAGTATGCAGAGTATATTCCCCATTTCTCTAAGGAAAGAATCATTGGTGAAACGAGCAATTTATTTTAGTTCCTTTTGCCCCTTTCAACCTTGCTCACCACCCTTTAGCAAACATTTGACATCCACTTTTTTCTGCCATTGTGAAACAAACATGCCAACACTGATAAAAGGCAAAGCCAAAATACTTTTGAAGTGGCAGAACCTCATTTGCTTAGAGGAGCAGAAGAATGATCTCACACCCTTACTAGAGATGTCCTTGAAGGTACAGATAAGTAAGCGTGGCCTCCTTAAGCAGACAGTTTGGTGACCCTTCATTTGCATGTTACAGAAATTTCTACTGGCTTTCAACAAAATGCAGGCATTTACTGCTTGATGCATCTTTGAAAATCTCTGCTAAAGCGCTGCAACATAAGGAAACGTGGCAGCATATTGGAGATCTATGATGTGATGCATCCAGGAGAAAAGGAATTGAGGTCTCACTAATCCTTGCAAACAGCTGCAGTAAAGTAAGCTAATCTCAGTTACTGGCTCATGAAGTAAAGATCTCCAGAGGTGCACAGGGGCGGGTGCACTTCTGGTACAGGAATTTTCAACATGTTTGGCCTCACTGCTTTTTTTCAGGAAATCCTAAACGTTGCTGACAGCACTGATCACCTTGAAGAGCTTCTCTCTTGATCCAAGCTTTAAGTATGTTCTGCTGTTAAGTACAAGGGATGTCTGTATGTCTGTACGCAGATACCTGCACTAGCACGGGCACAAGAAACTGAAGCCGTGTTCTGTGTAGATCCACCCAAGGAGTTTTTGCTTGTAAATGAACTACCTTTTCTTCAAAAATTATTGCCTGGGATGACAATAAGCACAGGCCCCACAAAACCACTCTTGTTGTCATTCATTAAAGAATAGCTCCAATTTCAGCCATCACATCCATGAAAAAATAATATCTGGACCTATTAAAATACAAACACTTGGTAAGATACAGTCGTTACCTCAGAGAGCCACTTATCCTCCACAAAAAGTTTCAACACTTGCTCTGCTTCCTTTTTCTTCATTTTCTTTGTTTTCAGTTGGTCAGCAAAGTTTAAAATCTCTGTGGAAGAGGCAAAGCCGTTCTCTGATAAAATGATTAGATCCATCTATAGGAAGAAATATTTTCAACTGTTAAAAAAGCATGCAGTTAGGTAGGCACACATTATAGTAAGGCACTATTTTTCCAACGTGCATATATATTCTGGTATATACTACAGTATATGGCTTGAACCAGAACTGTGTAAAACACAGGCCAAAAGCTAAAACAATCATAGTTACCTTGTCGAGGTTAATCTTTGCCAAGAACATATTTCCACAAATAGAACTGTACAGCGTTGCCTAAATGAAGCTACATTCAAGCACCCACGAACATACTAAGGACTGATGCATCTGTTTCTTTTGAGGAAAGATCTTTTGCAACTAGAGTTAATTTGTCCCGTCTGGATTCAGTGGTACTGCTG